AGAGAGAGAGAGAGAGAGAGAGAGAGAGAGAGCGAGAGCGAGAGCGAGAGAGAGAGAGAGAGAGAGCAAATTGATCATTAACCTGTATGTACTCTGCAGGTACCCCGGGAAGAGAGCGGGTGTTGGTGAGAATAAGCACAGAGTTGAGGAAACACTTCATTATAGCCTGTGACGACCTGACGACTTGGTGAGAACTCCCCTTATGTCAGCGATGACTGATGTTGTAGCAGTTTTTTTAGCAATAAAAAAGGAATAGAACCACACCAAATAGGTTTAGATCTTTGAAAACCCCACAAAACGACCCAAGTTCAAAGGAAGAAAGGGAGAAAAGGCGAACAAAGGTAAAAAGGAGAAAAGGAGAAAAGGGAAAAAGGGAAAAAGGGAAAAAGGGGTGGGGGGGGGAGGGTAAAAGAAAAGACGGGGAAGAAATGGGGGGGGGGAATATAAAATTGAAGAAAGAAAAGAGGAAAACGGAGAAAATATAGGGCTTGGGGTAGAGGGGATCTCTGTTTTGTCACTACTTCAACAGAGATCAGTGTTTCATTAAAGCGGATGTTTCAGATTAATTAGCACCTCTGTTTGTTAATTTGTAATGTAAGATTTTCTTACACCTCCAAAGGCACATATTGTGAGGCATCGTGGTGAAATCAGGCGCTAGTCGAAATCGAAGAAAACGGTATTTCCCCACAGGTTTAACAATTTTTATTGATCTTTTTCTTCTTTTTTAAAACTTTTGCTCACCGCCTTCAACATTCAATTATAAACACATTTTTGTGTGGATTTTCCTGAAAAACATTGAGTAAAGGCACAGAAAATGTAAATGTTCAGTTTCCAATGAATCTCAAGCTGTGGAAGTTACTAAAGTTTGGTGACCATTTTCTTGCTAATTTTACTGCTGGAAACAAGCAAGCTCGACCTCTTTTCTAGGTAGATGGGTAATTTTTCCATCTATAGTAAGACAAATCAATGAACAAGCTTTAATAAGAAACTAATAACTTCAGATACCCCCCAAAAATGACGAGCACCTGATTCCACCACGTCGTGAGACATTTAGAGCATTTAGGAGGCAGGCTTCCGGCACTGCCTGTCAGGGCCAACCAGGCAGAGAGAAATTCAACTTGATCATCGTCCTCACCATTGCCTTTCTCACCTTGCATCAAGGTAAAGGCCAAGAACGAACACTTTCCACCTTTCCCTATCCCGGGCTAGCCTCTTGATGTTATTCCTTGTCGCTTTTCTGTGCATCAGTCTATGTGACTCTTGTCAGATTTCACCTGCTCTTCCCCTTGATCAATTACCATGTTGGTTCCAATCCAACACTTTCGTTATTTTGCAGTTGTCTGACTTCTTGAGGACAAGTTCAACCGATCGATACCGCCTTCTTCCCACTTCATCTTTAACTGGGCTCTGTTTTGTTCGTCATATCATTTTCCCGTTGGTACCCTTCTCGGTCCATCTGATCCTCAGTAGTTTTCTCAGATATTTGTTCATGAAAACCTGGATCCCTCTTAATGCAAGTCTTAGATGTGTTCCTTATATTACACCCTTACAATAAGGCTGACTTTACAGTTGATTTGAAAATCATCAGCTTTGTTCGAAGTCATATATCCCTGGTCCTTCAAATCCTATTCAAAGATATGAAAGCAGCCAATGCCTTTCCGAAGAGAGGCTTTATTTCAGCACGTGTACCTCTCTGTCTATGAATTATATTCCCAAGATTGCAGAAGGAGTCAACGTCTTCTAGTGCATTTCCTTTTATTGTGACTTGCTCCTTTCGCGTGGCATCTATCCTTAGGAGTTTTAACTGTCCAGAGTGGATCCTCAATCCAACAGAATCTGATAGGACATTTAAAACTTAAGTCTAGGCTTGCATTTATGCCTGGGTGTGCGACAGAATGACCAAGTCATCTGCAAAGTCCAGATTGTCCAACGTGATTTACTTACTTTTATTTTTCATCCTCTGTTGCCATTAAGCGTCGAGGGGAGATGCAGTTTTCTGTGGTGGCCTTCCTCTTTCTTTATAGCCTGAGTGCTTGGTGTTGTAGGCTCTCGAGCCTGGCTGGTCAGGTGACATGCGTAACAGGTGGCCAAACCATTTTATCATCTGTCTTTCTATGTAACGCAGCCAGGACTCAGTGTCGATAGCTGCTCTTACTTCTTCATTTCTCTGCCTGTCTCGTCTTGTGATGCTAAGGGTTTTGCGGAGACATTTCATTTCGCAAAAGGACGAAGGGTTGGACTTTGGGAGGCGTCCAACGTGATTCTAGGCAAAATTATCTCCTCACTTGGGAATCGAACTCAAGTCTAACGCATGCAACAGCAAAGCGCATTATCGCTACACTACAAACGCCGGTACCTCTATTTGAGATGATATGGCAGAGCCAGCTTAGGAAACCTTTGTAGACTCACAGTAAAATGGCGTAAGACGTGTTGGAGGTTTACCCCATAACTTTCAGGTAGGACGGTTATTGTCTTAATTAACCACCACACCATGCAAAGACAAAGGGAGGGAGGTGGGGAGGTAGAGAGAGAGAGAGAGAGATAGAGAGAGAGAGAGAGAGAG